TCTCCGCCCCGCGAGCTCGCCGAGGCGGGCAGCCAACCTGGTTGCCCCGGGCTTTTGCAGCTAAAGGCATCTTCCCCACCCCGCCCCCAGCCAGAATCTATCTTCTCGCATCCCTGGGATTAATCCCTTCCGCCCCCTTCCCCAAACGAGGCCCCCACGCACACCCCAATGCTTGGAACGAGCCTTCTGCCAGGTCTGCCCACCCCTAGCTGAGGGAGGGGGGAGTTGTCTGGGGGGCGGGGAGCATGCATGGTGAGGAGTGAAAAGTCTTTGCCTCCCCGATGCAATCCTGCCTCCCCAACGTGCTAGGCTTCGCTCTTTCCTGATCTCAGTCCTTCACCACCCCCTTTTCTCAGTTGCCCGGTCAGCACGATCTCGTAGGAGCTTTCTGAGCCCCAACTTTGCAGTAAGATGGCAGAAAATGGAAATTCAGAAAGCTATGAAAAAGTATTTTATGTTTTTTTAAAAAATACAATGAATGAGGAGTAGTTCTTTGACCACCTTCTTACGTGACTACCCTCTTATTCACCTCTTCTTTCCTTTGAGCTGCCCTCCCCCACACACACACCTGGATGCCTGGCTGCTGGAAAAGGCGCGATTGCTTCTCTTCCTCTTCTGTCCAAGATAGGATTCTAAAGTCTAATTTCCTTTTTAGCCACACACACGCCCACACTGTCTTCTTAATGTTCTTGCATTCACCAGTTTCTCTGGACAGTTCTTGCCATAACCCCATTTCACAGACAAAGGCTTAAAGAGGGAAAAAGAACAAAACTGTTTCCTGTGTTTGCCATTTTAATGCTGTCCATCCCCACACACCAGTACCCATTCCTGATGCTTCTTGTGCCTGTGTCTTGACCCTTCAAGATGAAAAAAGAAAAATCTCTTGGGATAGCTTGATACAGTTTCTTTATAAATCTGCATTGTTGCTTCTGGTTTATGGCCATGAAAATACCAGCCCCCACCCAAAATGCACCGCAGCCAAGTCGGCTAAAGGCGATGAGTGTTGGAGTCAGTAGGGGGCGCATTCTCTGCACTGGGTAAGGCTGCAGAGGGGGGAAGGGCCCCAGAGTAGGACAGGATGTGCTTCACAGCGCCTTCTACAGACCTTGGGAAAATGGGCCCAGCTAGACGCACACTCTTAGTTGGTGAGCTGACAACAACATGGCGAGGGATTGAGTCAAGAGCAGTGATTTTATTTCTTGTAAGGAATTCACTCTGTATTTTGAAAGTTTTCTCTTTTTTAGTTTTTCAAAACTGTTGACCCACAGAAAGTCCACATTTGTTCTTGTCAAATCACCTTGTCACACATCCTTGGGTCATAGTTTCCCTTTCTCTGAAATTCTCCACCTTAAGCTTTCAATGTGTCAACATATCTTTCCAAAGTCAGGTGGTAAAGAGAAGAGTTTAAAACCAGAGAATAGCAGTTTGGGGCATTGTTGTTAAGTCCGAATTTTCATCATTGAAAGTTACCTACTCTTTGAAAGGGGAAAGTCACTCTTGAGGGATGTTAGGTTTTTGTGGGGTAGTAATTTTCATAAGCATAATAGACTGGTGTCATGATTTGCAAAGCATTGTTGACAAACATCAAGCCCATGTTGAGTTCTTCACTGTCAAACTCAACAGGTTTGATTGTAAAATTTTGTTTACCTCCAACTTTGGACTTGTAATTGCCACGTATTTTGTCGGCAGCCAACAACCTTCCTTTTCAAGTGTTGACACCAGTCTTCTGTGAACACCCACTTTCTTAGGGTGTGTGAATTTCCATAGATTTTACTCCTCTTGTTATTTCCATAGGTGTGAGATGCACAATGCGAAACCTAGGCCCCAGCTTTTGCACCATGATGCACAGGGTTGTACTTTTTGTACTGAACTGATAGGTGGCCTAGTGGTTATGCCCTGTACTGCCATTTTGAGGATCTGGACTACGTTTCCTGCCTTGCTCTTTGGACTACATTGTCAATTCACACCGGTGGGTATATTTATTGGGGAGGGTGGGAAGTACAACACAGGGAAGCCAGAGACATTTTTCTGCTTTGGTCACCACCAAAGCCAGCATTTCTAAACTTTCAGCCTAGCCACATTTCCTCAAAGAACTGTATAAAGCTCGTTGCAGTAGTGGGTTCTGACCACTGAGAATTAAGAAATGATTTAGGCCTTGTTTAAGAGAAATTTTTAAAGATGCTAATATAATAGTGTGGTCATTTGCATTCTGCACTCTTGCATATTAATTTTAAATAGTAAATCAGTGTTTTTTGATGGTCAGTCTCAAAAGTTCCTGAACTTATAAAAATCCTTAAAGATCTGATAATGAGGGAATGGATAGACTACGCTCAGCAGTAGAGTGCTTGCCCAACATGCTTATGACCCTGGGTTCCATCCCCAGCACTAACTACAAAGACAAGAAAGAAAATAAATAGATCTGATGAAAATCTGTAGGGGGATAAACTTGTTCTCACCAAAACTTGACAGTGGTTATTGATACTTAGGGTTACTTTAAGAAGTTGTGTCAAGTATACAGATACCTGAAGGAAATTGAATGGATATAGTTGGTGCTTAAAGGTGAATTTTCCATTTGATGATCACTTCCAAATAACATTTTGGTGAGTGAAAAAGATGGCAGCTTGGCTCAGGTATTTCTCTAGAGACTGCATTGCTTTTACAGCTTTTCCATAATTACAGACTCCAGTGTTTAATATAAATGGTATTATTTGTAATTTTTAATGTTTAGTATTTGTTAAACAAATCCTTGGCCTGTATTCAGTGTTTGTTATGCAGTTGAATAACTTCTTAAAATGAGTAATTTGAAGACAGCTTAGTTGAGTGCATATTTGGTTTGTGAAGGTGCATTTGTGTGACTTAGCAAATTATAAGATAGTTTGTTAGCTGAGGTTTTTAGTGGTAATAGCCATTTTACCCTTACAGGAAAACTTCTTGTGGCCTCTTAGCATGTATTATAGAGTTTCAAAGATTTCCTGGTTTTGGCACTCTCAAAAAATAGGTGAACCACTTGGGCCTGTTGGTTGGAATTTATAGTCAGTAAAGTAGCATTCAATAAAGTACAGCCAAATAGCCTCAATTTACTAGTGTGTTCCGTTTAACTGAGCTTTAAGTTGAAATTCTTTGTTTACCTTGACCCTTGACCCTTACTGAAAAATTTCCTAAGATGACCTTATTATTACAGACTGCTATATGTTGAAACTAACCAAATCTTTTATTTTGGTTCTTATAGTCCCTGTACAGAAAGTACAGGCAAGTGGGCTGTGAATCTCTAATGACCCTTGGCCCTGCTGATCTAGGAGGTCACTGAATTTTAAACATGAATTTGCTTTGGATTTATTTCTTTTCTTCTAAAGATAGGTTGCAGGGAAAGTTCTGATACTGTTTTACTAAGTTTAAATTTCTTGGTGTTGAACAGATTAAGTTTCAGCACCTCTTCCAGGTAAATAGTAGACTTTTTC